TGTCTTTTTGGGCCTTCTGCATATGTTAATGACACTTCAGATTGGGTCTTTTTTCCTGATTTCTCTATCTGGGCTTCTTCTTTAGATCTATTTCCTCTCTTAGGCCATTTGATTTGGGCTGCCTGTTTTGTGTGTCAACAGTATCTCATCGTAATCTAGAGTCATTTCTTGTAGAACAGACAGAGGTTGTGATGTTGTCGACTGTGATTGCATTGCCATTGAGTTGGCATTGTTAATGTTGCTGTTACTAAATGTCTGTTGAGTCCATAAATTACTGACCACATTATCTTCCTTGGAATCCAAAATATTAATGTTGTAATCAGGATTGCCATTATCAGAATAGGACTGTGGTGCAATAGGCAATGCTGTCACAGCATTATAGGATTGGGGAAATTCTTGATGGAGAAGTGAAATGGGATACTCTGGAGGTGCAACTCCAACTCCTAATTTTAACTGCGCCGGAGGCTCATCGGTCAATGAGATCTCTTTCTCCAGTTGATGATGATTCTGTCGACAAAATGAAAGTTGTGCAAGAACAGCCTGAAGCTCCTCTTCACCTGCTTGGATTTGGCAATAGAGTTGTTGTATCTCTACGAGACATCCATAAACCGGGAACCTGTCTCGCATGTTCGCTTGGTATTTAATCGACTTCATGGCCATAACTCTTTGAGTCGGGTCGAGATGTTTTAATATTTTCAATATGTTTTTCACCCCGAAAAGCTTATGTGCATTTTGAAACATTTTGGGCTGATCAACAGGGAAATGTGGTGCAAGAGAGCAATCAGAAGTGCACCTTCTTCTTTGATACTTGCATGCGGCACAGGCCTGGTCAGTACCACTCTTAAGGATCATTCTGAAGGCATCCAATCCAGGTAATGAATTTCAAGAATTATAGTAGATATAAATCATGTCTGTATATGTTAAAATGGTGTGATATGAAGGAAACAAAAAACTGTAGTTTGCTGGGGAAAATGGAAAGACTTGAGTAAAAAAGAAAAGGATTTGAGAGAGAGACAAAGAGAGAGTCTGAGAGTGTGTGTGTTATTCGGAGTCCTAATTTCGAGGGTCATTAGTGGTCATGGGTAAATCTCAGTTGCACACAAATATATACTCCCTCCGTCCCAATTATATAGGCTTGTTTAGTTTTTCACACGGATTAAGAAAGCTTATTTAATGTCATTGGAAAATTAATTTTTGCCAAGATCTTTCCTA